TTAAAAATAGCGGATTTATAGAAGAAATTTCAGTTAAAACACTAATAAAAATTGAATTTTTGATAAGTGACAAATGATTCAATTATTTTATTTAGAAATCCAATTATTTAAAAAATTTTTTGATGAAATTCTACACAAACAATATCGATTTCGATTTTTGTACCATCTAAGAATATCAGACTCACGAAAAAAGTTTTTTATCAAAGCATAAAAACTGCAAAGCAGTTTATGAGTACATACAAAATGGTTTTTATGTATATAATTACTCCAAAAGTAAAAATATTAATAAATTATTCAGTAAGAAAGTAATATTTTAATTACTTTTCCTTCTCTGTAAACATAAATTGTTTGAAAACACAAGTGTGAGCAGTGCGGCGGGAGCGGGCGCGGGCGTATTCCCGCGCGCTCGAGAGTTTGCGAATCAGTTAATTCCCGCGCGTCGTCAGAAAAATATGCATAACTTCTGTAATTTTAGAGGTTACTCACTTTTTTTTTTAATTTACTCGTTAGAGTTTTGCGCATCACATGAGTATAGTATGATTTTTTTCCGACATTGAGAACATACTTTAAATCGCAATTGTTTAAAATAATTGTTAATAACAATTAGAAATTTTTATTATACAGCAATTTTTTCAGTTGCACTTTAAACTAGACTTCTAGCTTTAATTTCCAAAAAAAATTGAAATTATCTTAATTTGTTTCGGAGTAATAATGAAAAGAATAAAAAGTAACCTAAAAGTTTAATACCTGATAACTTTCAAAATAAATGAAATTTTTGAAAAATATTTTAGCGGGTAAAAGTTTACTCATATATCTATCAAAAACCATAGATAACTTTAAATTCGGGGACAAAAATTTTTCAAGTGGCCGGTTTCACTTATTTTGACCCTAAATTATATTTGTCAATTAGAAAATTTAATTGAAAATAAAGGAAAACAATTTATTGAAAAAAATGTTCTGTTAAATTCATTTACAAATATCTTTAATTGTAAAATTATTCGTATACAATAATTTCTTTTTTAAGTATTTAATTATTATTATTTTCCTATAGGAGTTAATACTTTCAAAAATTTTTAATTCAAACCTTTTAAAATTATTCAACTAAAATACTTCTATAAATCCATTATTTTTAATAATTAATTAAATATATATATTGACGAATTTAACTAATTTAAAAGATTTTGAATTATTAAAATTTTTCAAAAATCTAAGTTCATTAAAATTTCCAATTAAATTCATTCAACATTGAAATTTTATAAAATTTTAAAATAAAAGCGATTGAAGTTAATTTATTTATGAAAATTATAAACGCAAATCTTTTAAAATTGAATTAACTTTGAAGAAAAGTCGAAAAAATCTCAATTTTTGAAAATAAGTCGGAAAAAGTCACATTTTTTAAAAATAGTTGAAAAAATTCATAATATCCGAGGCCTGTAAATTACACTTACTGCGCATGGTAATGCGATTCTGCTCATGGTTTACTACTAAAATGCACTACTGCGCATATGCAAGTATCATACTACATAACTGCGCATATAAAACTATTAAAATGAACTACTGCGCATGTTAAAGTATTTGCAATAAAAAACGAGAAATTTGGGTTCCGGGTCGCGGACGGGCGAATCGCGAATTTTCTCTGTCCCAAAACACTTGCCAGGTTAGACCCAGGAGAGGTGTCTTCGAGAAGAAGCGAGATGTCGTACTGCAATGATTAATTTTTAGCGACAAGCCTCCAACCCTTACCTTTAGTGCAAAAAGTGGGGAAAGATTTTAGAAGTAGGAGTAAGTTATGGGACCATTGGTCTATGCATTTTTGCTAACGTTTTGGATCTCACGTCCGTGAGAACGGAAACGGTCTATCAACATGATACTTTTAAGACATTATTTTTGAAATAACTTAGAATTTAAATAATAATTATATTGTTTAATTAATAAAATTATTATTTATCTTAATTATAATAGTGCATATAGTTTATTTATTGTAATTATATTGTTTCTACTTTTATAGGTTGCTTGTATATACATTTTACATATTGAGTAATGCATATACATATATACATACAACCAAATGTCCTCCAGCATTTTGTTGCAACAACAATGTTTACAACAAAATGTTTAACTATTGTTAAGTTGTTTGTATTTGCATCTAACTTGATGCATAAGTTTAAGTAGTATTGCTGCCGTAGCATGGAGGCCGTGAAAGTATTAGTGCTGTAGCCGGGGAAGTCAGCGAGTGTGTTGGTGCCTATAGACGGCAGTTGCTCAATTGTGTGTGTTGCCGTCGTCCCTCCACACACACGTACAATCTCTCAATGTAATTCTTAGTTGATGTTTTAATATTTTTGAATTACGTTCACACTTTCGGTTGTTAACATAAAATTTTAAATTTAATTATTCAGATTTATGTACGTATTTTGGCTGCAACTTTGCGCCTTCTTTATGTTTTACAGACTTGAAATTTGGATACGAATTTTATATTTATTAATTGCCGCACAATATTGTCGTAAGGTTCGATGTAGGCAGCATTGACTGCGCCGGTACAATTAACTATTTATTATATTTGTTATTATATTATATAAGTTTTATTGTTTCAGTTTTTACAAAAACATACAATGAGTTTCAAGATTAATTTACAGTATGATGTATATAAATGTAATACTAAAATTTTATAAGGTTACCAAAATACCCTTTAATTATACGTTTCGAACAATCAAAAACTAAAATCTATTCTGTGTTGATTATAATTTATTGCGCAACATAATGAGATCGCAGTTCAAGGACTTCCATAATGAAGTGTACCACTTTGCGTATAGTTTTTATCCTTCCTGAGGCAAGCAGATCCAACCACACCTCCCCAAGCTTTTCGTTATCAAACTTTTTTTTCAAAATATTTTTTCCTTAAATCTGCGTATATCGGACAAACCGTTAATACATGAAATATGTCTTCTGGACTTTGCGTGTAACACACTTCGCACCATTGTTTTGTCTTAAAATTATGTTTAGCTTTAGTTAAAAATTATTCTAGGTGCGTGGACATTAAAAAATCTAATTTGTGCGAAAGTTCTCATAGCTCCCCATGGGATTCTCAAATTCAAATACCGTTGTCTCCCGGTGCCAGTGATATGTGTGGGTAGATCTGCAAACATCTAGAATTGGATAAGTCCTCTCTGTCTTTCTTTTTTAACATTTCCTCATATAAGGAAAGAGTTTTTTTCTTATTTAATACAATATTTTCGAAGTTCAAATTTTCCCAATAACATTCCGCATCGCATTCCAAAAAAATTGTTTTATTTGAGTTTTATTTGTTATATTTAAATAATATATTTATTATTTAGTAGAAGGAGAAAAGAAATAATAATTTCTTTTGTTCTTCCAACTATTTTTATAAGCATTTCTTAGTTAAAGGCATTCAATATCCTCAAGCATAGCGTCGCTGCGTTGCGATGCTTTTATATGCTTGGGTTGATTTGAAATTAAATTTATTCTACATGGTTGTCAAATAACTTATTTTTAAAATACTAGTAAGTAGTAGAGCTAGGCCGGTCCTGGGCCACTTACCGACCGTCGGTAAGGTAGATTTTTAATTGGCCAACTTTAAGTGGCTTGGTCGGGGTGTTCTACCTTACCGACCGAGTTTTTAGTACCGGCTGCCACCGCTAGATAGCGCCATTTTATTTGCTTAATTTAAACCCGCTTGGTGGGGTATTTAAATATATATTTTTAAACTTTCAAGTGGCTTGGTTGGGGAGTTCTGTTTTACCGACTGAGTTTTAGTACCACCTACCCTGATAGGTGGCGTCACCGGCGAATTCACCCCCCCCCTGGTGGGATATTTAAATTTTTTTCTTATTTTCTAACTTCAAGTCCCTTGGTATGGGGGTATTTTTAAATTTTCCAACAAAAATTATCGACCGACTTTAATACCACCTACCTCCGATAGATGGAGGTCACTTTCAATGTCACTTTCAATGTGAGAAGGTACATTCTTGTTCTCTCATAAAAGTATACACTAAATTGGATAAAATGGTAAGAAAATTTAAACTTATTATTATTAATATTATTATTATTATTATAATTATTATTATAAAATAATAACAAAATATATATATTTTTTTATTTTTTTTTAAGAGTGCTAAAAGAAATGAGCTGCCAAATATATGCACCTGTTGTTTTCGCCAATTTTTTGACAAAATTTGCAAGGAGATGGATATTTCAACAGACATATTTCAATTAACTTCCTGGGATGATCGCTTTCGAAAGGTAAAATATAAAAAACAATTTTTAACTTTAATTTTTTCTTTTTCTTATTGATAAGATATCAAATATTAAGCACATGTGAGTAAGTTAAGGTTCGGTCAGTTTAGAATGAATTAATTATTTGCAAATTAAAAATTTTTATCAAGTATTCTTTGTTCATTTTTATTATTTTTTTTCAAATTTGAAAAACTTTTTTTTTCTGCTCTTAAATTGATAAAATTGAAAAATTAAGTACATGTGATTAATTTAAGGTGAGGTCATTTTAGAGGAAATAAACAAACAAAATTTCCATAAACGTAAATTTGAATCAAGTATTGTTTGTTTATTTTTATATTTTTCCAATTTTTGAAAAATAATTTTTATTAAATTCATTCTAAACTAACTTTACTTCAATTTAGTCAAATGTATTTAATATTTCAATTTTATTAATTAAGAGCAGAGGAAAGAAATTTAGAATCTAATAAACATTTTTGATCAGGTATCTTTTTTTTTATTTTAATATTTTAAAATTTTATTTAAAATTTTTAATGTGTACTTTGAACGATCGTTTAACGCTATACTTATAAAACATAATTTTAGTATTATATAGTTTTATTTTGTGAATTTTAATTAACTTTATTCATTTATTATTATTTATTTATATATTTATTATTATTTATTTATATATAAATTTTAATTTATAGATTGGTGAAATTCATCAACAAAGGATCCATTGCTACCATAATTTGATCCAATTGGTTAATATGGTCAACGATGGTTTGAAGTCAACACCATCCAGATTTCCAACAGGTGTGGAGTCAACACCATCTAGATTTCCAAATGGTGTGACACAATCGTCTACTGCACATCCAACAATTATAAAACAACAACCATTTCGGGGGCAATCACAGTCACATCTTCGAGGAAGTTCTAATGTTCTGTTACAACCAGCACTTTCTCCAAAGTTTGTCAGATGTCCAACTGCTTCCTCTCAACCTCTCAATCCTGTGATTTCTTTAAAATCAGGTCCTAGGCAACGAATCAGTCGATGGGACGTTTTAAAAAAATCCACTGCAACAAATTCACATTCCTCAACACCACCACCAGCTCCAACTAATGCTCATTCCTCAGCACCAACACCAACTACTTCTCATTCCTCAACACCAACTCCAACTACTTCTCATTCCTCAACACCAACTCCAACTACTTCTGATTCTTCAACACCAACTTCGACTACTTTTCATTCCTTAGCACCACCACCACCACCTATAGAACCATATATACCAGAATACACAGAATCATATACACCAACTCCCAAGGAAGCAAAACCATCTTCTGGGTCAAATGAATCCTCTACTTCAGGGGATTCATCCAGCTCTTCAACATCTTCAAGTATTTCGACATCTTCAAGTATTTCGACTGAGCCGACACCAGGACCTTCTTCTGGATGTCAAACAAATTTAAATAAAGTCAATCCAAATATCACAAGTCAAGCCTTAAAAAAATCTTTAGAAGATATTGAAATTTCAAAAAAAACCTTTGGAAGCTATTCAAAGCTTAAGAAAAAGAAAATTTGATCCAAGAGTAGAGGCTCAAAAAGTTGAAAATTCACAATCAATAAAAAAACAAGATGAAGATCCTTCAGATCCTTGTGTAAGAAGAACAACTAGACCTGATATAAAAAATTTAGTGATTAAAAAAAAGCAAGGTTAATCTAGTAGTTAAATAGAAAAAAGTGACGTTTCAAAGTTATGCTTACATTATTTAAAAATACTTTCTTAATTCAAGTGACTAAATAATCTTTTTTTACTAAATTAATCGTTCTTATTAAAAAAAATTAACATTAAATGTTACTTTTTTTAAAAAAAATTATTATTTCTCTTAATTGATCTCAATGTTAGTATTTATTTTTATTAGTTCAGTGTGAATATTTATTTATACTGCTGCGTGTGAATATTTTTTGTATCATTTCAAAGTGATTTTTGTGATAAACACATAATTAAAATTTTTAGTTTATCACTTTGAAATTGTTGTGTTGTGCTTCATTAAGCGCATTTTTTTTTATTTTCATTTGTATTTGTTAAATGTGATTACTCTATTTTTTAATCGCATTACTTAACATGTTTTTTTTCTCAATATAGAGAAAGTTATTGCGTTTGAATTACGTTTTATTAAATTTAACGTGATAAAAGCTTTTCTTATATTGTAAACATTTAGTTTTCAAAAATCTTATTAAGTTATCTATTTCATCATGATGCTTTTGTATAAGTAGAATAGATGTAAACAAAAAGAAAGTTAAAAGCTTGACTTGTAATTTATGTTAAAATATTATATATATATATTTTAAAATTAAAACTGTTTAACAAATTGATTGATAGTCTTTTATTTTATGAAAAATTTCACAAACCTATTTTTTAGAATTTTCTAATTTTTATTAATTCAAATATAGTAATTATTACAATTTTTATATAAATCTTTGATATAATCTTTATTTCTATAATTTAAAGTATAAACAATAAATTTGTTTTACATCCATCAGAATTTTATTTACCATAAATTGTGTAATACTTTTTAAAACAAATTTATCCTTTTTTTGATATGTTAAAATTTTCAATTATTCGCATGTTAAATTTAACAAAATTAATTATTTTAATAAATAACTAATTTTTCCATAAATCATTTTTAATAAATTAAAATTGATTTCACTATTTACAATTTTAAAAAAACATGGTTTTATTATAATATAAATTACAAACTATAAAATGAAAAAAAAATTCTAATTATTTTAACAACATTCGAATAAATTTAATCATGTATAATATTTCGAGGAAATTATTGTTAAATTTCCTTTAATAGAAAAATTATGATTTTTGATTATTGAAAAAAATACAATAATTAATTTGATTTCATAGTGACTAAGATTTAAATTTAATTTATATACATGATTAAAGATGTAATAATTTGTTAAATTGAAAATATTTTAATAAATTATATGTATTAAATAATAAGTTGATTAAATCTTTCATCTAGACAAGGAAGTGAATATAAAAGATCATACAAAAGATCCAAGGCGCTAAAAATGTTACCGTGAACGTATATAGTTAGATGTGAGTGAGGTGTAGTGGGGATGAGGTGTAGTAGGGGTAAGGTATAGTGGGGGTCAGCTATAGTGGGGGGCTGTTGGTTACGAGCTATAGCTTGCGAGCTGGTTGAATCATTCTTTTTCAGCCTTTCATGCATTACAGGTATCGGAGATCCACATTTTTAGAGTGCACATAGCTCTTAAACTTTATTTAGATTTATAATTTTTGTTACATAAAGTATTAATTTCTTTTCCAATATTTTTAGTCGAATACAAATTTCCTAATTTGTATCTTAAACATAAAGGTAATTTCACGTAAATTCTTATCCTATTTTTTACATTATATTTATTTTAAGTTATTTATATTCAAGAATTTTTAACTTTTTCTAAATACTGTTTTATTGGAAATTTCAAAATCTTATTTACCTCATAATGTAATTTTTTAATTTAAGATTCAAAATGGACAGGTCTAAAGCTACCCGAACCTTACCATCTACAAATGTAGATAGTGATGATGAGTCCATGATTGTTAATTATGACTATCTCAATGATGACGCTTTTATCGTCATTGATGGTGTCCATAGCTCCCAAGGAGATTCTATCAATATCAGTGACTGTGAGTAAAATAATATTGATGATGACGCTTTTATCGTCATAGACGATGTCTATAACCCCCAAGGAGATTCTATCAATATCAGTGATTGTGAGTCTAATAATATTGATGATGATGCTGATGATGATGCTGAAGATGATCATGATGATGATAACAACTTTCAATATGAAAATTATGATAATTATGATTATGAAAATGACATTTTAGTTATTGATATTGACATTGATGAGGTAAGTCTTTTTGTTTTAAATTGAATCTTAAATGTTGATTTAAATGCTTAAAATTCACTTTTGGTTTCAGATGTATGAAGAATTGTGGGAATAACCGGTTTGATGTTTGTTTATAAATAAAAATGTTCTTTTTATAAGAAAAAAATAAAATACAATTATATCTGAAAATTAAATTGATTTCTTTTTTTTTCTTTAGTTTAATAATCATACAATTTGCACATAGGAGAAAAGGGTAAAGTGGGGGTAATATCATGTTCATATTAGGGTGTGTTTAAAATTGCGCGCGCATCATAATGGTGGGGGTGGAGAAAAGAGAGGGGGAATGGTGTTATAAAAGCGACTCCGAAGCCGCTAGAGTCATTATTTCAGGTCCGAGTGTTCTGAGGAGCAGTAAGTATAAGCTTCTCTCCTTTTATCAACACTGTTCTTAACTTCTAGGTTTCTTTTCAGTTTTCCTTCCTAAGTGTTTTTTGTTTACAGCTTTATTTTTTTTCTAATGTTCCTGTTTTAGCTTTCAGATTTTTTTTTATTCAGCTTTTCTCTATTCTAGGATTATTTATATTTAGAAGTAATTATTTTTTTTTCTGTTTTAGTTGTGACGAACCGACTTCGTCACAATTTATCCCTTCGTGATAACAAAATATAAATATAATGTTTATAAGAAAATATTAACACAAATACAAATATCCATGTTAAACACAATAACGAAACATACTTAGTTCATCTTTTCGTTATAATCTCGTTTAAAAAGACTTTAAATAATAATAAAATATAATATCTCTCAATTATTGCAGTTAATTATATTTCACATTTTTATAAATTTACATTGAAAAAGATTAAGAATTTAACTTTAATTAAAAGGATGAGGCTTCGGATACCAATGTATTGTGAAACTTAAGGAGTAGTGTGTCTAGGTTAATGAACCATGATCACACCACTGCCTAAAACTGCAAGCTTGCAGAAAAGCGCCTGGCAACGAGCAGGTGCAATAAACTAAAGTATGATTTCACCACTGTAATGTCGATTAATAAAATCGATTGACACAGGGAAATCTGGGCATTTGCCCGTGTGTCTCGGCGTGACGAAGACGGAGAGTTAGGGCTATAGTGCCAGATAAAGTTATTTTACGAAGCCCTTGTTTGTTTAATTAAATTGAAGGTCTGAATAATAGACCACAAGATAAAGATGAAGTAATAAAATAAGTGAATAAATAAATGGTTATAAAATAAAGTGACAAAAGTATGAAATGAAAAGTGAAATATTAATTAAAGTGCAAGCGCGTTAAAAAAACAAAGGATATTAACTAAAGGAAATAAAACTAAAAGAAAATATATAAATATATATGACAAAGATGAGCTAAGTTGTTTTACACACTAAAACACAATACATGCACATAAACACATTACCCATCAGAAAATAGATATTGTGTAGAATCACATACTTAAAAGAAGATAAAGATTGTAATCTTTAAGATAAAATAAATAAGGGAAATTTAGATAATTGTATTAGTGTTTAGAAGTTATAATATATTCTCATTATTTTGTAAATTTGTTTAACTTTATTAGCATCTACACAACAATTCCAAAACCCTAAAATCCACTATTTCCAAACAGTAGAGATTCTCACCTCACTACTTGAACAATAAGTAGGAAGGAGGGGATCCACTACCAAACTTTAAAGGTTACAAGTTTTCTTGTGTAATATTTTACCTTTAATTTTATTGTTAATTAATTAAATTATTATTTATAATTTTAATACATTACATTAGTATTTTCTCCAATTACAAAGAAAAGAAATGGATCTAGAAAAAACCAATGCCGTTGGACGTTTTGAAGGATTCCTGCCCACTAAACCTCTATCGGAAATGACTAAGAATGGCCTGTATTATATCACCAAAATGAAGAAAGTTCAAACCAAATATGGCCCGAGAATTATTGTAGAAGTAAATGCTGATTTTGTCACATACTTACCTTCTAGATTTGCCAAACATTTCGAAGATGAACCAAATTCGTTGGAAATGATGCAGGAAGCTGCAGTCGCAAAGCAGCTTCAAATGAAATATCTTGGAGGAACTTACAATATGGTTGAATTTCAATTTGTAAAATAAGATATTGTTCAAAGATTGTACATATTTTAAATTAGTTGCTTAGAAAATAAACACACAAAGTTTTACCTATAAATTGATTTTAAATTTATTTTCCTTCTCCTCTTAATATAAGTTATTTTTCAGAATTAGAATAAGTTTTATTTTCAGAAATTATAAAAATATATATAATATTTAAATTAAATGAAATAGTAAAGGATAGGTTGTTTATTTTAAATTAAGAAACATTGTTTTGAATTTAAAATTAATAATATTTATTTATTTTTTTTTACATGTATTCACAAAAAAGATTCACCATTTTCATAGAAAGATTTTAAAGTAGTATTGAGCTTAGAATCAACTTCATTAGTGTCTTTAACAACTATACTTATATATTGGTTTGGAGGCTCCAAAAACCATGCTTGAAGAAGTTTAACATTTTTTGCAGCGCAATTTTCTTTATAAATAGTATGATGTTTACAAGTAGATAATAATTTAGTCTCAAGTTTTCAGCGATGGACACTTATAATCTTCTAAATTATATACATTTAATAAATATTTCTCTAGCCAAGTCATTTTTTCAAAACCTTTAACGTAGATGGCTTTAGCATCTCGTAGTATTCCTTGTAGAATAGATTGAAGTTCATCGTAAGGGACATCTCCAGCTGTCCAATCAATTCCATGATAATTATGAGTTAGCCATAGATTTTCACTTTTGTAGCGTCCTGGTAGTGAATTCCAAGGACAAAGAGATTCAAACAGAAGAACAAGTGGTTGAGCATCTGATTGTAGAGGAAGTATTGCCAATTCTTTAAAGATAAACTCGTTGCAAGGTTTTTTGAAACCTTGGACGTCTACTATGAACTCCATCCTGAAACAAAATGAATTTCTGTCCAAGAGTGGCTGTTTTATATCAACCATCCCCACCACTTTACCCCCACTCCTCTACAGTAGCTTCTTTACAACGCCGCTGATTGGCTTATATTGTATGACGCGGTCATGGATGATTAGGCAATAGGCGGTGGTCTCGGCTAGCATGTTGATTCCTGCTTCAAATTCTAACCTCACATCAACTGATGCTTGTTTTAAAAACTCGTTTTGCTTAGAAAAATCAATAACAATTAGAGGAAATAGACTTTTAAAAATATCCTTTGTTAAAATAGGTTTTCAATCTTTACCATAATAGGATGATTGAAAATTAGCGTACATTTCATAAAGTAGAGAGTACTGATTTTGATCAAAGTTAAGATTTAAATTTCCATAAGGATAATATTGTGAATTTAAAAAGAGTTTAACATTGGTAATATTGCAATGATCAAAATGACAGGCATATTTTTTTCGTTTATCTTTTCTTGCTGTTTGAAATCCAACAATAACATAGCGTGGTTTCTCTAATTGCCTTGATGTTTTAATTTGCCACAAAACTTTTGACCTTGTAGGAATTAAAGGATACTCATACATTTCCCACGACCTAAAACTTATTAAAATTAATGGATCCTTTTCAATAAATTTTAACAATTTAACTTTGTTATTGTCAGAAGGTAAAACGTATGGAACCATCCATTCAAGTTTATTGATGAAAATTTTGAATTCCTCATCCCCTCCTTGTCCTATTTGAATTACGGCATTCACGTCAGAACGTGCTCTTGTTAAAATAAGTTCATGTTTAGCGTTCATAATGATTTTTTTATAATCTTCAGCAAAACCAAAAATCATGCTGAGTAGTATTGTGACATCAAAATAGCCATTTTCCAATACAAGTCTTGCATCAGCTACAATTTTTGAATACCCAGCATTTTCAATAAAATTTAACTGAGTTGGTGTTTGTGAGGTATAATTTTTCATGATTGTAGTATGTCTCACGTATTTGCAGCGATCTATTTCAATGCCATTTAGTTCATAGCGAATTTCATCAAACAGGAAACATACAGCATTATTACTTAAATGCACGTTTTGTGTAAGACTAATTCCATCATTTTTAGTTAATCTACCAAAAATGTGTAATGAACTTTTACTAGGTAAAATGCACAAGTCTTGATGTTGTACTGCAATTCGAATTTCATCACTATTGTTAAACGATGAAGATGCATATGGTTGATGAGCATGAATTTCATAATGAGCTATGGACTCATTGAAATTCACTGCTGCTGGAATATTGAGAAGTTCATCCATTTTTATTGCAACAGCAACCAAAAAATATGTAGATTAATTGTCTTGTTGTCTTATTTTCTTTCCTTGAATTTTTAGACCTAGTTCTTGCAGAAAGAGGCGATTCTGAGGTGTTAACACTTTGTGAGATGAATTTAGACTGATTTGACTCTTGCATGTTGGCTGACTTTTATAGTTTCCACCAACAACAGCTCTTTGATTATAAACGATTCCCATTACAAAGACTTTATATGCAATCGAATTGTTATAGTTTCTCCTCTAAAATTTATCAAATCACCGTCCTGATCAACAATTCGCAGTTGTATATTGTGTATTGTCTTGGTGGCAATTGGAAGGTAAATGACGTGTGCAGGCACTTCCACAATCTTATATCCTGGTGGAACGCTGGGGAAGAATTCATGGATAGTGTGAACTTTTTGGTTATTTATATACGCTCCAGATGTGATATTACACTCAATTCTAACTGAATTAACCTTTGAAATGGCTACAGGTAAATCAGAAATATGTGCTCTATGAGATGGTAGTTTCTGTGATGCAAATCCCAACAACTTACCAATCGAATCTTTAGGTTTAAAATCAATTGGTAAATTAGATTCAACGATACTGCGTAATGTATTATTATTAGGTTTTATACTAATAACAGTTCCAGTTTTTACAGAATTTTGTAAATATGATTTAATATCTTTGATTTCATAACTTCCAGTTGGAATATCAATTACTTGATTTCCAACGTTAAATTTGTTATTTCCTTTATCAATATTGGGAATTGAATTAAAAGTCAATAGTTGAACAAGACCAAGTACATAACTTTTATTTGAATTTAGTTCTATTGGAGGGAAATATTCAGCTCCCAGAACTAAAGAATTTCCTGTCAACGTTAAAGTAAACGAACCACTCATGTTGCTGTCAGATTTTATACTGAAACCTTACAGGTGTTACATAGTCTTATAAAGGTTAAAGCAACTCTTAATATTTAGTTGATTACACAAAAATTTGAGACACAAGTGTCCACATACAAATGTATCATAGGTTTGATATATTTTATGATTATATTTTATTAAGCTACCATCACCTAAGTAAATGACATGATCTGTTGGTGGAGCAAGGTTGACAAAACTATCAAAATACATTGTTTTATTATTATTAAATTTTGTATATGCTACCCAATGTGTTCCAGCACCTTCTTTATTATCAAGATTAATTATTCCTGATTCAAACTTGTGAGGACCACTTACAGGTAGTTCATTTCGCATAAAAATACCACGAAAATGAGGTATATTGGCAGCTTTGGCATACTTTAACAGATCAAAATCAGTTAGTGGACGGTGAGGTAGCTTCAAAACAAGTTTTTTTTGCTCCTTGTTGTTCTCTTTTTTCTTGATGCTCGTTTCTTCTTCTTCTTTCTTGATGCTCGTTTTTTAATTCCTTTTCCTTGAATGTAGGGTTTCAAGTGGAGACCAAGTCCTTGTCGATAAGGTTTAAGGTGTAATCCTTTTCCAAGCGATATGGCTTCCATGGATCTATTGTAATGTTGAGCTTCTTTAAGCTGTTCACTAGCTGTTTTAGCCTTATTAACAGCCCTTGCTATTCCTGAAGCACCTCCAGCAAGAGCTCCTAAAGCACTAAGTCCAGCAAAAATTGGAACTAGCGGTAAAATTCCACCTACTTTAGTAGGTACAGGAAGAATTCTAGGTGATAAAATTTTGGATTTTCCACCAACATTTTTTATTGCTTTTCGTGCACCAACTATAGCTGCTCGAATTGATTCTTCAGCATTATTACTGGGAATCATACTTTTTCGAGCAGCATCAACAATTTTTCTTAGCGCTATTTTCTTCTTCTTACACATTTTTTTACTCTTTTTTTTCTTTATAGCTGATTTTCTTTCCATTCCCATGCCTAATTTTGATTTGGCTTTCATGGTTCCGGATATAGCTAAAGCAGCTGCTCTTTCACTCACACCAGAATCTTGAGCTGTAACACGTTCCCACGCTTTCTTAGCTGATACTTTATCTGCTTCGTTTCCTGCATTAATATTTTCACGATTTAGCGAATATGCAATGTCGTGTTGTTTACATGCAGCATCCAGTGGATTAATTCCTTGGTCACCTCGAGACAAACGCTTTGCCAACTTTGTACCAGGTCCACAGAATTGGTATCCTGGTAAATGTAACTCAAAAGGTAAACTATTGATGATACGATTGATTAAACCTTTTCCTTGATGGCGTCCTTTTTTCGCCTCCTGATGCAGAATCATGCTTCACTCTACAATGGTTGACGTGAAACTGACAAAATTGACTATAAAAACTAGGTATTTATAGATTTTCGAGCAGTTACTGTCAAGATGCAGTTCACGAAACAACCTGTCGCACTACCAATCTCTAGTATAGATGTTGAAACTAATGAAAAAAAGATTAAACGTCACGGTAGTCTGTTTCCAGACAGCATTCGAGCAGTTTTCTGTGGCCCTTCAAATTGTGGTAAAACGAATGCTCTTCTTTCACTAATAATACATCCAAATGGTCTAAGTTTTGAGAATATTTACCTCTACTCTAAATCTCTACAGCAGCCGAAATATAGATTTTTAGAAAATGTAATCAGTCAGGTAGATGGTGTTAAGTATTTTCCATTCAGTGAACATGAAGAAGTAGTATCTCCAAAAGATGCTAAAGCAAATTCAATATTCGTTTTCGATGACATTGCTTGTGAAAAGCAAGATAATGTTAGAGCTTTCTTTTGTATAGGCAGACATGTAAATGTTGACAGTTTCTATTTATGTCAAACGTATGCTCGTATTCCTAAACATCTAGTTCGAGATAATGTTAATTTATTGGTTCTATTTAGACAAGATGAGAAGAATCTGAAACACGTATACGAAGATCATGTTAATACAGATATGAGTTGTACTCAATTTCGCGATTTATATAGAAGAGGATTTGATTGCTTCATTTCACTATCAATACAAGAACTTTATTGAATTTTTCATTAGTATAATTTATCTTGTCTCGAAGAAAACATGTATCGAAAAGAGCAAGAAACGCTAAATAGCAAAAGCAAGTGATGCTATTAGGCGAAAACATCGTTTACTCAAAATGGGTAAAGAGGCTGCAGAAACAGTATTGAAAGAAACTTTTCAACCAATAGTAACACCTCTGGAAAAGTTGGTTAAAGTAACTGACATACCTTTCAAAAATATTAAGAAAGAAAAGGTTAAAAAGGAGGAAAATGATTTTTCTTTCTCAACTGCTGTTGATGAGGAAGAGGAATTGGATAAAACACTACTTAATGACACTCTACTTGATAAGAGCAACAAGTTTGAAGAAGAAGGAGAAGAACTTAATTATGAAAATTTGACAAATAAATTTATTCAATTATTGAATAAAAACAGGAAAGGTTTTTTAGACATGGTTTATGGAGTACGTAAGCTTCCTAATGGTTCTTTTATTATTGGTGATACACCAGTTGATTTAGAAGGGTACGCCAAAAAAGGTTAGTGGTGTTTTGAAGAAGAAGAAGCTTGGAAAGAAATTACCTCAATTTATGATTTCAAAAAAAAAAAATTTAACCCAGACTACATCTATTGGGATGATCCCAATGAACTAGTTGACCGTTTACGTCTGCTAGTAGCATCACAGCAAGCTGGAAATCCGAGCCATAATAATGAAATTATGTCAATCATCCAAGAACTACGTGAAGCTCGCATTATATATTAGGAGAGTACAATCAAAGAGAGCTTAGTATTAAAATGAGCATTGACGTGTTTGGACATCCCTTGTCACGGCCTCTTGCAAGTCGTGGACTTCTTGAACCTTCTGGAATTGGTTTTAAAATTACTCCAAGTGAACAATACGACATTGATAACAAAAGACTTTGCAACGTTCAAGACGCTGAAGAGCAACAAGACGCTGTAAATTTAAGACTTGCACAGAATATTATTAAAAACGAGATAAAAACAGTTTTTGAAATTACATCTTCTTTGAGATCAGCTATTGATGATTTGAATCTTTATATCCGAATTATCGAGGATAGAGTAAACGAAAAACTTAAAGAAATTGAATCACAGCAAAATTATATCATCAAAGAGGCTAAATTTATTCAACAGTGATGGCTGATCAAAAATTGACAGTTGTATCTGAACTGCATAAACAAGCTAGAAAAAATTATCCTCGTCGAAAAGTTCAAATGCGTGGTATAGATGAAACCTGGCAAGCAGATTTAGTTGAAATGATACCTTATTCTTATTCTAATAAAGGTTTCAAATACATGCTCACAGTTATAGACATATTTTCCAACTATGCCTGGGCTGTAGCTGTAAAGAGTAAGAATGGAAAGGATATTTCTTTAGCCATGAAATTAATATTAAAACAAGGTCAAATTCCAAAAAATTTGCATACTGATAGAGGCAAAGAATTTTACAATTCTGAATTTAAGAGTTTAATGCAAGAATTTAACATTAATCTCTATTCTACCTATAGTAATTTGAAAGCCTTAATTGTTGAAATATTTAACGGCACTCTAAAAATATGATGTGGCCTGAATTCAGCTTGCAAGGCAATTATAAATGGATTAATCTTTTACCAACTCTCATGTCAAAGTACAATAATAAAAAGCATCGTACTATTGGTATGAAACCCAAAGATGTCACCGTAGAAGATACAGGAGAACTGCTGAGACGTATCCGTAAACTACGTAGAATTCCGCTGAAAAACTCAAAATTCAAAGTTGGAGACAGAGTTCGAGTTAGAAAGTACAAAAATATCTTTAAAAAAGGATATACTCCTAACTGGACAACGGAAATATTCACCGTGGATAAAGTTAAATCAACAAAACCAATCACATACAAGCTGAAAGATTATCAAAATCAACCCATCGAAGGTGGATTCTATGAGGAAGAATTGCTGAAAGTCTAATATCCAGATGTTTACCTTGTAGAAAAAGTTCTCAAGACTCATGGTAATGATGTATACGTGAAATGGCTTGGATTCGATAGCTCACACAATAGTTGGATAAAAAATCTGATATGTAGTATAGTTAAAGTAACGTTAAAGTATAGTTAAAGTAACGTTAATCTAATGTTAAAATAAGTTAAAGTAAAGTTAAAATATAGTTAAAATAAGCTAAAATATAGTTAAAATAAGTTAAAATATAGTTAAAAAAAGGTAATAGTAGATTGTGCATCAAGGGAGGGAAATGGATGATTTCCGACGAGTGTAGTTTGCAGTTCGAGGCGTAGCGAGCAAACGAGCCGAAGGCGAGTGCTTGCGAGCGAAGCCAAGAACTGTAAAACACGAGTGGAAATCAATTTTCCTCCCGAGTTGCACATACTATTTTTTCGAACACACGTATACCGAAAGTACAAACGCGGCAGTTTGATTGTTACTTTTGAATGTATAGTTGTAGCTGGGGGCGGTATAGTTACAACTGTGGTAACTGAAAGTTTGTGAAAAGCTTAAAATAACTAAACTAACCCAAAGAGCGTAGGTTTACGCAAGTAGCGTAAGTAACGTAAGTAACGTAAGTTACGTAACTTACGTAAATCATTTATTATTTGTAACTCGAAAGACTAACATAACTACACCATTTACGTAAGTTACGTAACTACACCATTTGCGTAACTCGCGTAAGTTACGTAAGTCACTTAGCTGACGTAACTCACGTAACTGATTCATCAATGGTCATACTTTGATAATATTACCGAGAAAGCAAGTTACTTTTCCTCCCTCACAGGGAGGGAATGTTACATTCCCTCCCGGTGACGTCACTAGCCGGGAGGGAATGTACATTCCCTCCCGCTCGCAGGGAATCATACACTTTTCTCCCGCTAAACACGTAGGAAATGGTGTACTTTCGGTGCGTGTGGTAGAAAAAATAAGTTAAAATATAGTTAATGTAAATAGATTAAGGTTTCTTTAAATAAAGTAGACATAAAATAAAATTGAACATCTTGTTTATTAAATCTATTTCCTCATACTGCTTCACCTTTTTTTTCATAACAAATAATTTTCTATTTACATTGGTTCAACATCATCATCGTCGATTTCTAGAATTTTATAGTGTCCCCATGCAAGGGTGTCGGTGCTGTTGTCTAAAAGATACCTCTTATCGTCATAAGGACTTAGTGCGACTTTTGTTTGTTTTAATGTTTGTACATTGTGTAGTTTCGACCTAATAGAATACTGGGTTCTTGATTGAATTGTAACATTTCGCAGACAGTACACATAATCTTCAAAACTAATATCTTTTTTTACAACTACAGCTTTTACAGCCTTAGCCTTTTTTATTAAATCTTTCTCTTCAACTCGCACACTATACATTTTGCTCCGCAAGCCAACAAATTCAGTCTCAATTTTCCTACTACATTCATCCTTCATCAGACCTAAAACTTTTTTGTTGGCTTGCGGAATACCGTAAATATTATTTGCTGGATAATCGGAAGTGTCGAATTTATTAATATCTTGTTTCATATCAATGTAAACGTCAGAGCACTTTATTTCATAAATCAGGCTATCTATCTTGTTTTAACTAAAACTAAACCGTTGTCAATAGCTTGTTTTAAGGCACGATAATGGAGAACGTGCTTTCGTTTCGGTAGGAGGGTAGTTAGGAGCTTCTCCTCTTTAGACCCTGGTGGCTTCGAGCGTTCAGGGCAAAACGGCAAGTCGCTATGTTTATCGTGAAGATGATCTGGATAATCAAGATCAACTTCCAAGATGTACCCAATTAGCCCATTATCTGAAACATTAAAATCAAAATCATTGCCTACATTTTCTACCCACTCGAAGCCACCGTAGGGAAGCGACTGGACCATAGCCCAGCCATAAAGATTGTTTGCGTCATAGTACACGATATAAGACGTCTCCTCGTTTTCATTGAAATTCTCCATGTAAGGATTGTTAGCTTTCGCATACCGATTTGTACACTGACTCACTCCACCTCTTATTCCGCGTTCGACAAACATCACCATGTCGATGTCCGTGAAAAGTTCTAATCTTATATTCGTGTAATTTAACATTGCATCCCAGGTAAGGCCAGGCGTAGTATAATAGTGTGCTGGATCAAGATTGTATGCTAATAAACATTGATTCCTGAAATTTTCAAAAATGTCCGCGAGTAACAAAATATCCGTTTTCATATACAAGTACACATAATCAGCAATATTCTGACAACTAAACTCACTCCACACTTTCTGCGCATGCGCGTAGTCTTTATCTGAAACATTTGAATCGTTCAACGTGCTGTAAAATTTTTCTTTCGGTGGTAATTCTGTTTCGTCAAGCTTTTCCCTAGAGTCAAGATACTCGTAGGAAAAAACTCCTTTGCGCGTTAACAATTGGATTTTATCATCACTATAATTGGAAAAAGCTGAATTTACAATTTTATATTCATCGAGATAGAAAGCTAACTTGTCCAATGATGATGCCATAAACTTGAAAGAGTCAATGAAACGAAATTTTATCAAACTACCTTTAACATTTTTAGTGAAGTTGATGTACTTCTCTTTGTTAATTGGAAGTAGATCAACTTTACCATTAAATTCAGTAGCGATTGCTTCAATTATAAAATGTGCATCGTAGCCACTGAGATTATGGAAAACAACAGGTATGGTAGGTGATTCGTGATAATTAATATTACAATCTTGATGCGCGGCTCCCCTATACTTCCCTGTTAAATGACAATGGTCTCTTACTTTGACATCTCCATGCATGATTCTCTTTTGACAGATATGACAGATATTGTCATTTCTGAAATTTACCAGCTGCTGTGGACTAAGTGCTTGCATAGGTTGAAAGTTCTTAAAAATGGGCTCTACATTGTCTACTAAATTTCTTAACTCTTTCGAAAACCATTTTGATGGATTCTCTTCATCTTTTGGTGAAGCTTTATATAAAGACAAAAAATCGTCGAAGCCAAACTTTAAGTAAAACCAATACTGAGCAACTTGTGATTTTGAAAGACCTCAGTATTGCTTTCTTCTTGTGATGCTTCTGGTGGGATTAACAAACTCTCACAATCTGCGTAAATAATAAAAGGTACGCGCTCCTTGTTCTGGAAATTCTTAAATTCAACAGTATTTTTACCTTTTTGGGGGAATCTAATTTTAACATTATTCAAATACGGCAATTCTCCTCATGTTCAACTAGCTTTTGTTGTTGTTAAAAGACATGAGAGGTAACTGCTCTTCTTCTTCTTCCTCTGCATTGAAGCTGTCATCAATATAGTGATCTTCAACACGTAAAAGATTTACATGATGTATTCTCTTCTGTTTTGTTAGATACAATGAACAAACGCTATACTGATCATTACTTTTAACAAGGCCATAAATATTAATTGATATTTCAACGTTTAATTTTTCAAACTTTAAAATATCATCAAGTGCAATGGGAAACTCAATTCCTGTGAAATTAAGTTCTTTTTCAAAAGGTTTGTAATTGCCAACCCGATATGCATGATCTTTAACAGGGTGTAGAGCAGACAAAATTGACCATTTAAAACACTGGTTGTCATTATTTTGAACATTTATGCAAGCATGCTTACGTTTAACAGCAGGTGGTAAATCAATAAAAGAACCAGCACACAATGGGTTGTACTTGTTAACGTTAACTTCCAACATTTGAATTGAATCCAGTTTCCAATTAGAATCTTTTTGTTGGAATTCTTCAATTCTCTTCAAGGTTATCTGTTTAACATTATCATTATACCACTCATCTAACTGGGTTGTAACAAGAATTTCACTCGTTTTTGCGATAAACGTTTTTAAGTCTGATGATTGTTCTTTTCCATCGATTGAATCTTTTACATATTTCGCGCTCAATACTGTGTACATTTTCAGCGGACCAAACCTGTTTAAAATTTTCTCAATGTTTAATTTAAATAAGGAAAAGGCATCATCAAGGAACTCATTGATATCCTTGTAGTCCATATTCATAATAGCACTAGTTTGTAACCGGTCATCGAATGCATACTCAATATCCACCCACTTCATTCTCTCATTAGACACTTGCAACCCAGCACCGCGTATCATTAATGCATCAAAATGGCAGCACAAGTATTCAAGTTTTTGACTTATATTCATACATCTAGATCGTTGAAAAGAAAGTAAATCAGACTTGTGCAAAAAGGTTTTAAAAATATTTTTTATACCGCTGACACTTGCTATGCCATTCAAATGCCGTAATGATTTTGTCATCGCCAGTCATTGACATGGTAGAAATAAGCTGGCGTTCCACAACTTTAATAAAGTTGTCAGACTCCTGACATACTTCATTGAATTCATCCGCGTTGATTCGTTGTCGAGACTTTTTCTTTGATCTGCACTTTGGCATTGTAAATGCTGAATCTAAAAAAACCTGTAAATAAACTGAAAAAAAACACACTTAAAACTATAAAAAAACTAAAACTAAGAAAACCATGAAATAGAAAAAACCACCATCTTAAACCTAATACAAAAATAAAAATAACAATTCCACCTAAAATAAAAATAATAACTCCGAACACTCTGAACACCCTGGATACTCTGAAAACTCTAGATACTCTGAAAATTCTGGATACTCTGAAAACTCTGGATACTCTGGGAACTCTGAAACAGACTGCTGCACCTATCAAGATGCAACTGATGCTTGTGGCTTGCGCTCCGCAACTTATACACTGCTCCCACCATACTCACCTCCCCTCTACGCTGCGCCCCACTACTCGAGCGTAGCGCGCATCACCCCACTGCTGCAGAGTCGCGCAGGTTAGAATAAGTAATTACTTTCGGCAGGTTAGATAAGTAAGGTAGAAAACCGAGGGTAATTTACTATGACAAAATGGCGCCATCTATAGGAGACAGCTGGAACACAACTCGATAGGAAATTTAGGCGCGATATTCAAAAATACACTCATAAAAAAGGATTAAAAATTAATTAATTAATAAATATTTAAATATTTCACGAAAAGGGGGGGGGGTAGAAATCCATGGTGTCGCCATCTAACGGAGGTAGGTGGTATTAAAGTCGGTCGATAATTTTTGTTGGAAAATTTAAAAATACCCCCATACCAAGGGACTTGAAGTTAGAAAATAAGAAAAAAATTTAAATATCCCACCAGGGGGGGTTGAATTCGCCGGTGACGCCACCTATCAGGGTAGGTGGTACTAAAACTCAGTCGGTAAAACAGAACACCCCAACCAAGCCACTTGAAAGTTAAAAAATATATATTTAAATACCCCACCAAGGGGGTTTAAATTGAGCAAATAAAATGGCGCCATCTAGCGGTGGCATCCGGTACTAAAAACTCGGTCGGTAAGGTAGAACACCCCGACTAAGCCACTTAAACCATTAACCACTTAAACCATTAAAATGTACTTTTGCGCAACTATTACTACTAAAATGCACAACTGCGCATGTGCAAGTATTTTCATTAAATAATAGCGCTGGTGAAATTAATAAATTGCACTTCTGCGCACGTAAAATTATTAAATTGCACTATTGCACATCTCTTATTATCAAAAAATATTATTGCTATTAATATAGCATATGACGGGTTTCACGTCAAGTGACCCAGGTCCAAATTTAAAATGTTTGTGATCAGGTAAAAAGTTTGCACAAACAGTAGTCCTATTAGAAACAATAAAAAATATCAAATATTATTAATTTATTTAAACAAGTATAAAAACTAGAGGGGGTCAAAGTTTAAATTTTTGGTCTTACATGGAATATTTGAAAAATTTATAGTTTCTTTAAAACAAAACGAAAATACGTTTTCTATTTTGGATTTTTCTGCTGTTTTTCAACACTTTCTAATGGTGTAAACAAATGTAGACAAAAAAAATTTTTTGACCTTGAAAAATTAAATTAAAAAATAAAATTTCATTTTTTTTATCAAATGGACAGTTTTTATTTTTTAAAAAAAATTTTATCATAAAGGTGAGGTTTTTTCCTAAAAAAATGTATAGGTCAAAACGTGGGACAAAAACTTTTAACTGGTCAAAATAAACATTTACTTCTGCAATCCACCGCCCCTGCGCGTTGTTGGGCTGTATATTGATTATAACAATTGAAATAAATTATTTTATGCTTTAGTAATTATCTGGTGGTCATATTGGATAAATTTGAATTGATTTATATCATGTGCAGCAACAGAATAAGAAAATAAAAGTTTTTTTTAAAAAAAGTGTATTACTTTGTTAACTTTGATTAAAAAAAATATAAATAATTAAAATCCCCAAAATTGTCTTCGAAGGATGTCTTAAGAATTTATTCCCCTTTAATTTAAGACAAAGAACACTCAAATCGGTTAGAAATTGTAAGGTGTAGACATTTTTTAATAGTAAATTGTAAAAAAAATTCCACTGCGGGTCGGTGCACTGCAGAAGTAAATGTTTATTTTGACCAGTTAAAAGTTCTTGTCCCACGTTTTGACCTATACATTTTTTTAGGAAAAAACCTCACCTTTATGATAAAATTTTTTTTAAAAAATAAAAACTGTCCATTTGATAAAAAAATGAAATTTTATTTTTTAATTTAATTTTTCAAGGTCAAAAAATTTTTTTTCTATACATTTGTTTACACCATTAGAAAGTGTTGAAAAACAGCAAAAAACCCAAAATAGAAAACGTATTTTCGTTTTGTTTTAAAGAAACTACAAATTTTTTAAATATTCCATGTAAATTTTTGACCTGGGGCACTTGACGTGGAACCCGTCATATATTTAATTTTGCATTTTTTAATATTAAGTTTAAAACAAAAGGAATTTATTATAAAAATGTCCGCCATATTCTATTTATTATGTTTTTCTTAAAATGCTTGTTTAGTTATTGTTTAAGCCTTCACTGAGGTGCTGTATGCTATAACTGGATAGGCGCCATTTGCAAAACATTGGGCGTATCTTTTAATATTATTCAACCTCTCTCTAGTAATTTCGTTTCCGGGCCCAGACACAAAATATAATCGTATTTACTATCGTTTCTGGGCTCTCAACGGAAACGAAAATGACTTTGTTTTGATTACGTTCAAGGGCACAGAAACGAAACAAAATTATTTTTCACGTTGATTCTGTTTCCAGACACATCCCTGTTTTAAACAAGACCATTTATTTATCAATGCTCCACATTATAACTATTAAATAGTGTAAAGTAAACAACTTATCTTTTCAAAAGAAAATGAATTTTTTCTTTTATACGATTTTAAAACATTAAATATTTTCTAATACGATTTTAATAATGTTTTAAAATGCACGAGCAATATAGATACATTAAATAGTTTATGCATTTTTTATTTTAAATCGGAAAAAAATAGAAAATAAAAATTCAAATGACGAAGTTTTATTCAAAAATAAATTAACAAAATGGGACGTAAAAAACTTGCTTTAATTTGGTGGACAATGGAGTCTCGTGTTGACTGTTGACATAGATAGACGTGTTTTAAATCGCTCTCGCTTAATTAAATAAGTATACTCTTTTAATGGAAATTTTCGTCAAAATCAAGTGACTGTAACAAGTGCTGTGTAATTTACAAAGTGATCCTCAGTTAAAAGTGCAACTTGAAAAATGATTGAACCAATAATAATGGAGATTAGAAATGATATCAAGGACGTGAAAAAAACCAATGAGAAAATTCAACATGACCTCGAAGGTATCAATACTTCACTCCTTCAACAGGGGAAAAAAATTTCTAATATGGATAAAAAGATTGTTGAACTTGATAATAAACAAAAAATTCAAGATAA